ATCAATTTATTTACAGACACATAATATGTGAATTGTAGACATATAATTTTTTAATCAGGATCCACAATACATATGGACCCTAGTCCATGGCAATCATTATTCCATGGACCATGATCCATACATATGTGTGAACCATAAATAAAAAATACATTTTTAATATACTAAAAGTACATTATTTGTATACATAAAGTATATTATTTGAAAGTACATGATTTTTTTATATATATTATTAAATAATATACATTCAGTACACAAATAATGTATTTTTAATATATTAAAAATGTATATTGTATTTATGGTACACACAATAATTTGCCTAGTCCATGATACAACAATTGTATATTGACATATATCAAGTGAAAGAATTGGATTTTGGGTTAGTTTTTTTTTTTTTTTTTTTTTTTTTTTAAACCAAGAATATAATTTCATTAAATTAAATGTTCAGTACAACTCGGAATAGAAGAAGTGCAAATAATGGGACTATTTTATTTTTTTATGCATGACGAGTAGTCATTTTAGTTTTTAATTATTGTAGAGTAATGTTAGATACTCATATTTCTTCCCTGATATGATGTAACATCATTTCATTAGTTTATTAAACTTTTCATTTTTTTTATTAGTAGTGGATTAGTTTTTTTTTTTTTTTTACAAAGAAGGGGTACCCCTTCTACAAACTACACCTACAACGAGGCTCGAAACCTAAACCTCCCAAATAAGAGAGCAATCCGATACCAGTGGACCACAAGCCACTTGGTATTAGTAGTGGATTAGTTAATTCATAGACATGTACCAAGTTGAACTCGAAGTTGTGAGTTCGAGCCTCAGTAGAAGCGCTATTGCTTCTCTGTGATTCAGTAGGTTGTGAAAAGTAGTAAGAGCATCCACATTAGTTGGGGAGATTTGGGGATAATGTAAGAGTGATTAGGAAAGAGAAAGTGGGAGGGGAGAGAGAAAAAAGGAAAAATAAAACAAAAAAAAAAGTTAAAATATAAAAAAATAGATGAAATCAGACGCGTCAGCCGCGCCGACTGCACGCGCCCGGCCTTCCTATTGGACTGCGCGATACGCGCAGTCCGTGCGTTGTTTTTTTTTTTTTTTTTTTTTTTTTTCATTCTCCCCTCCTTTGCAGGAGAATTATTTTTGTATTCTTCCTTCTCCACATTGGTTATTATCTTCAACATGAGAAAATTCAACTTACATTATCCCCCTATTATGCATTGATATGGTTGCTCTAATGAACAGATACTGCATACTAATAGAGTTAATAGTATTTAAAAAAAAAAGAAAAAAGAAAGTCACATCAGAAAAGAAATATTCAGGAGGGTTAATAATAATAATAATAATGATAATTTTAACTAATACTATCCGGTAGTCAAGATTACCAACACAATTCACTATTCATTCTCAGCTAATTTCCAAATACATACTTTCGATATTTTTCTTAACTCCCTTCTTTTTTTTTTTTTTTTTTTTTGGCTATGTTAGTTCAATAGATAATATTTTAGAACAATTATTTACAAACCACAAATTAACTATAGGGTTAATTTAATCTTATCCACGGTATGTGGTGCAACGAGTAGTAGATAGCATTGATGAGGTTCCAACTTGCAACTGTGCAAGCAAGAATATGGGAGATATGGGAAAGAAGAATATGGGAGATATTAAAGAGACAGGAATGATATACTTTTCTTTTCTTTTTTAATTTTCTTAATTTTTAAATAATATATTATATAATTGTCAAACAATTAAACAATTATTGTATATGTCCAGTGGCATTGCCATATGATCATCATCATTTACTAGAATCTTAATTAGAAGCAACAAATAAATAATGCTGATTTTTGGTGCTAAAATGTCTCAATTGTACCAAGACAGAGATATAATATTCCATGAAAAGAAAATTTAAAAAAATTAAAAACATAAAAACGTAGGACCTGTAAATGCCTTTTTTTAAAGGGTTATTATATGTAAAGGTAAATACTAAATAATAAAAAAATCAATAGAATTAATCATATATTATTCCAAAAGGTTGAACCCCAACCCGACCCGACAGAGCATTTGGGAGGATGTAAATCCTATGGTGACTCAACTGAACATGAACCACAGAGGCTAGACCGGTGCTCACTGCGCACAAGGAGCCCCCCTCACTTTGAGAGGTTGCTCCCACACTGCCGCTGGTGAGACTCAATCCCTGATCATTCTTTCAAAATTTCACCTCTATGACCAATTGAGCTACCTATGCGAGCAGAGTTAATCATATATTCTCTCTACAAGTAGTAGCTACTTAGCATTGTATGGGGTTAAGTTAATCTATCTTATCCATGGTACGCGGTACAGCTAGTGGTAGATAGACCGGGTTGATAAGGTTCCAAGTTGCAAGCAAGAATATGGGAGATGTTAAAGAGATAGGACTGATATGATAGATGTTCAAAACACTTTATCAATTAAATGTGGATTTTGGAATTATATGTAGATGGCAATATATATATTTTTGGTATTTTACTAGAATATAGTCTGCCCTTTTTTTAAGAAAAAAAAAAAAAATTAATATACCAGCTTTGTTGGATTTATCTCTAAAGTCACTGTAAAAGTAAACTGCGAGTCATATAATCAGTCCACCGATCAAACCTTCCATTATTCTTAGACCTTTTTTTCATCCATGTTTCTGATGGGATTCGAACCACTACACTGCCACCTCTTGTCATGACTTTGAACTCTTTAAGTCGGGTGATGAACCAATTACGCTAAGTTCAGGGGCAAATAGTGTGCTTCCTTGCATTGGTGATTGGTGAATGACGATGACATCTTCTTCCCAATTGCCCTTCCCTTCACCATCATTAGTCTTCGAGTCTGACGACTCTGAATTGATATTTCATTCCACTCTGAATCTTTTTCCTTTAATTATTTTTCACATTTATTATTGATGATATGATGGAGCTTAATCTGCATATATTTCCCTCTTTCACACGGCATGCATGCATATATGATATATGGCACTGCACGTTGATTAATTATATTCCACGGCGGCTTTGGCCCTTCGCCGCCGGTGGCCGTGCGTGCTAAGATCGAGGTTCATGCATAATGCATTATATATATATATATATATATATATATATATATATATATATATATATATATATATATATAAAAGTCAATTACTGGCCGATTTGGTTGGAGTGAGAGAATTATTAGAAGGTAATGGAGTTGTAATTCTATGGAAATAGAATAAAGTGGGGATTTAAATTATATTGTTTGGTATAAAGAAATAAAATGATTGGGAATTGAGAGGAAGACAGCATATAAAGACTAAAATGTTTTTGTATAATAATAATATAATAATCATAAGAAAGATAAAATGTAATTTATTGTGAAATTGCAATTCTTAGAAGACCTTAAGAATTACAATCACATAGTTTGATTAGACGAAATTGCAAATCCCTTTAATCAAACTATGAAATTGCAATTCCATAAAATTTAAGAGGAATGAAATTATAATTTCATCCTACCAAAGACTCCAACTATTAAATGAAATGAAAGCCGTCTAAGCTCGAAAGCTCATTATCATCACACATATATCATATATGCTGGGTTTTGGAGTCGGTGATAAATAATGATTAAGTTATCAAATTAATTAGCAAATGTAATTAATAATAAGTACTATACGTACATATATAACATTATTATTAACTAGTAATTCACCCGCGCGATGCACGGGAAAAAATTATGTTATTATAAATATAAATAAAAAATAGAAAAACTAAAATATTTTAAATTATTTAATATAATAATATTTTTGAGCTTTCATTGGTCAAGTATTTATTATTTTTATAGAATACAAAATTACAATTAAAATTAAAATTATAATTTTGCATGGTTAATATAATCTCTAATTATGTGCATATTCAAATAAACTTATAGAGAGAATTTACATAATTACATTGATTTATTCTTAATTGTATTTCATCTATATTATAATTTTCACAATACGAATAATAACTGAGATAATTACATTTGGAAAGCAAATTTCAAATTTTGTATGTGTAAATTTAAACTCTAATTGAATACATTTTTTATATGATTATATAATATATAACTATTTTATTTTTCAAAAGTATATTTTTATATGATTATATAATATATAGTTATTTTATTTTTTAAATGTTGTGTTTTTTTTTTTATAATAAAAGATGTTGTGGCATTAATTGTAGCATTAATTATTTCCCAAACCATATAGCTTTATTATATAAAGGATGCTGCCTGAGGTAGGGCTTCTTTGTATATTGATTTAATGCACGAAGGCAAGTGTTAGATGAGTTTCTAGATGGATAAAGTAAGAGTATAATGGTATCCGGGTTGAACTTCTATTTGGAAGGTTGTGAATTCAAGCCTCAGTAAAGGTGTTATATGTTCTTTGTGTTTCAGTAGGTTGAGAAAGTATATGAACAGATACTACAATGTAATAGAGCCAGTAACATTCAAAAAAAAAAACGTAAGAGTATAATTCTTGTTTTTTTAGATGATCTCAGTTTCAGCTGACTAATTTTAAGTCTACAAGATCACATCCCTAGAGCTAGGCCTGTGCAGTCGGACGGATCGGACGGATCGGATTGCGGAATGAGACCCCCGGTCGGATTTCGGATTTCCATTTTGACCACCCTAACCGTTTATTTTTGTTGACTAATCCGATCGGTTATTTTTATTTTCGGATTGGTTCGGATCGGTCGGATATCCGTGTTGTAATTCGGATTTATCAGAATGAAAAAAACTTAAAATCAAATATTCTATTCATGGATTTAAATGGAACACCTAAGTGGCTAAGTACCTAACTAATGAACTACTTAAGTACTAAAAGCCACTAACTAGTAATTACTAACTACTTAACAGCAAAAATAAGTAAATAACATAAGTAAACTTATACAAATTAGCTTACATATAATCAGCAGATTAGCTTACAAGTTACAAGTTACAAAATTAAAACTTGTAATGAGAATTCTAATTGTTCATAGCAAGCAGGCAAGTTCCAACAGCATCACTGCATCAGTCTCCAACTCTCCAATCAGCACATCAACATTCAGCTTTCATGTTTCAGGCATTGAGCAAAAGAAAGCCAGATATCCAAAACTCCAAAAGCAATATATGAATATATGGTTAATATAATATAGAGTACTCTATGTCTATTCTTCTTCCTGATAAGTGAACACATAAAAACACAATAAGTTCAAAACATTTGTAGTTAGTTAGAATTGACACAAATAACACAATCACACAAACTGAAACTGTAAAAGACTAAAAGATTGCTCAGATAGCTTTTTTTTCCATATCAAGTTAGGATTGGGGGCACACTACTCAATGAGTATGGCATAAACACCACACTTCAAAGGCAACATACCAAACCCAATTCTATATATTCAGAGAACATGGTGGAAGCATCATCATAGCACAATAATGAACATTTATACAGGCATTCAGCTTTCATGTTTCAGGCATTGAGCAAAAGAAAGCCAGATATCCAAAACTCCAAAAGCAATATATGAATATATGATTAATATAATATAGAGTACTCTATGTCTATTCTTCTTCCTGATAATGAACACATAAAAACACAATAAGTTCAAAACATTTGTAGTTAGTTAGAATTGACACAAATAACACAATCACACAAACTGAAACTGTAAAAGACTAAAAGAGTGCTCAGATAGCTTTGTTTTCCATATCAAGTTAGGATTGGGGGCACACTACTCAATGAGTATGGCATAAACACCACACTTCAAAGGCAACATACCAAACCCAATTCTATATATTCAGAGAACATGGTGGAAGCATCATCATAGCACAATAATGAACATTTATACAGGTATAACTTATAAGTATAGTGAGTCAGAAGTCACATTTAGACATTTAGGCAGTACTTATACTGATACCTGAGCTCAATGGCAGCAACATTTAAAATGTTACCTAGCCATGAGCACTTTCCAGTTTCCAGTTCCAACTTCCCAGCCTCACGAGGGACATTGATTTGAATCATTGATACACATACATGATACACTGATACAGAGGCATAAATTTATCATGAAATCAAATAAGTAAATAAGTAATCACAAATCAAATAAGTAAATAAGTAAACATACAACAATTGTAGGCATTCCAGTTCCAGTGCTGGATGTGCAGCACAACTCTGCAGTACAAAAACAAAATGGAAATTAAAACTTAAACAATTAAAAAGATCATTGCTGGAAGTTAGAAGTATATACCTTTCTCAATCCTTTCAACATCTTCAATATTTTCTTCAATTGAGATTGGTTGGTTGCTTAACCTTAGCCAATCCTGTGCACACACCAATGCCTCAACAATTCTAGGAGTTAGGGAACTCCTAAAGGCATCAAGTACCCTTCCACTTGTACTGAATGCTGATTTAGAAGCAACAGTTGATATTGGAACAACTAGAATATCCCTTGCCATTTTAGATAAGACAGGGAACCTTTCAGATTGTTGCTTCCACCATCTTAGAAGGTCAAATGAATCATCCTCATCCACAATAACCTCAGAGAGATACACTTCCAACTCAGTTTTTTTCCTAGACAAATCCCCACTCACCAATTTTTGCTTCTTAATCTGAGATTTCAGTAATGATTGAGGTCTCCCAACAGAAACTGAATCAGATATTGTTATTGAGGGAGAAAATTTTTCAGATTGTTCAACACACTGGACAGGGAAGCATGCAACATAATCTTCAAACAACTCCTTAAGGCCAACAATCACCTTATCAAACATTGTTTTACCCTTGTCCTCACCATATAACTGGTTAAACTGAATGGGCATATACTCAATTTTGTCCCTGGGGTCTAAGATATTTGCATAGAATATCAAAAAATTCATTTTTTCAGGCTCACCCCAATACTTATCAAATTTTGCCCTCATATTTTTACCCATTAGTTTAACACTATCTTCTGTAGCTTCCTCCATATTTTTCAACAAGCAAGACAAATCAGAAATCTCAGAGAAGAAGGTATTAGAAGTCACATACAATGATCCAGAAATCCTAACAGTCATTTCATAAAAAGATTTTAGAATCATAACCAAAGATTGAATTGATTCCCAATCTAAGAAATCAGGTACACTTCCACCCAAATCAGATTTAAATGAACTGTCATGATCATCATAGGCTTCAAATACCTTCTGAAACAGTAATGCAGTATTAAGCATCATATATGTGGAATTCCACCTTGTAGGGACATCTAGACACAGAGAATTCTTAGCTTCCACCCCAATTAGATCAGCTAGTGATTTAAACTTCTGCAACCTAGCAGGTGAGCTCCTCACATACCTAACAGCATCCCTGACTTTCTTAACAGAACTGTCACATTCTTTCAACCCATCCTGTACCACCAAGTTAAGAATGTGAGCAATGCACCTCATGTGCAAATACTTACACCTAACAACAGTACAACCCCAAGAGCCCAACTTCTTCTTCAAGAATCCTAGGGCAGTATCATTGCTGGAAGCATTATCTACTGTCACACTAAACACTGATTTTAGACCCCAGTCCAAAAGGCAACTCTTTAAAGCCTTTGCAATACTTTCCCCCTTGTGGAATATATAGGAACAAATGAAATAATCTTCTTTTGCAGCTTCCACTCACTATCAATGAAATGTGCAGTTATGCACATGTAGTTTATTCTCTGGACTGAGGTCCAAGTATCAGTTGTGATACTTACCCTCTGACTGCTAGTCCTAAAAAACTTCTTCAAGTTGACCCTCTCATCAGAAAATATCTTGAAAATGTCCCTACTGATAGTCCATCTTGAAGGGATTTTAAACCTAGGACAGCAAACTAAAACAAACTTTCTAAAACCATGTCCCTCAACAATCCTAAAAGGAAGTTCATCTAAAATAATCATCTCAGCTAAGGCTCTCCTTATCAAGTCTTGATCAAACACCCAAGTACCCAACACCCCTTCAGTTCCTTCACTACTTTGAGTTCCAGCAGAAGAAGGTGCAGGTTGGAATGTGAGTAGGGACTGCCTTGTCTCCTTAGAGTGAGGATTTTTAAGGCAGTTTACCACATGAAGTCTGAGAGAAGAAGTCCCATGTTTCTTGCTCTCACAGCAATACACTTTTGCACAATATATACATTTTCCTTTGATGACAATGCCATCACTGTCTTTGATCTTTTCAAAGTGATCCCAACATGGAGCCCTGGATTCAACCTCTTTCCTTTTCTTTGGAACAGGTGGAGGCAAAGGCTGCTGAGACTGAGGAGTAACAGTCTCTACAGCAGGTGCTTCCAACTCAGGTTGGGTTCCAGATACACCAGTAACACCACTAACACTTTCCATCTAAAAAGGGGAAAGTATCAGTGACACAGAATGGGAAATCACTCATTGAAAATCATCAACAGAGAATGGGCTTTGTCACATACACACATGTATCAATTAATTAAAGTGTTAAACACTTAATCAGGCAGAATTCAGTGAATTAAACATTTCATCATGTATGCAGAATTGCACATAAATGATTTAAGGGTCACATATCCATAAACTTACAATTTCACATTTTCACAGTTACAACTTACAACTAAGTAACTAACAACTTACAAATTACAATTTACAATGAAATCCATAATCAGGCATTCAAGCTAAGTAGATGTATGCTACTTTATATGCTCATCATTTATATGGATTTCAGTCACACATGAGTACAAGACACACTCCCACATTTATATGGCTTCCACAAGAATACCATCATGCTTAACATTTATAAGGATTTCAGTATTTCACACACAGTTCCTGAGTTCCACACTTCCACAGTGGCAAGGGGCTAGGGCAGTATGGCTTCCACCACAGATTAGATTACAAATTAGAAACCCTAATCACACAATTCACAAATTCAAACTCAAAGGACTAGTGACATGCAATCCGGAACTTCTCAACGGATTTACAAGTATCATAGTCCAGTGAGTCCACAGATTAGGTTACAAATTAGAAACCCTAATCACACAATTCACAAATTCAAACTCAAAGGACTAGTGACATGCAATCCGGAACTTCTCAACGGATTTACAAGTATTATAGTCCAGTGAGTCCACAGATTAGGTTACAAATTAGAAACCCTAATCACACAATTCACAAATTCAAACTCAAAGGACTAGTGACATGCAATCCGGAACTTCTCAACGGATTTACAAGTATCACAGTCCACAACTTCACATAATCATAAAAATTAGAAACCCTAATCAAGAAGACAAATACACAATAATCTATAACGAAAATGAAAATAGGGTTTAGTAATTACTTCGTTTCTCAAATTTAGTCCCTCGAGAACAAAGGGCTTCGGATCCTCTATTCCACCGTTCCACAGTTCCACCGGAGTCCGGTGACCGGACTAGGGTCTAGGGCTTCCACCACTCCACCAGAGTCCAGACTAGTCGCTACTCCGAGTCTCCGAATAGGGCTTCCACCAGACTACAACTGAGAGAATTAGACTGAGAGAACTGAGATTTGAGAAGTGAGAACTCAGAGTCTTAGAGAGTAAGACTCAAAGACCAGAGCGAAAGAGAGAACGAGAGATGAGAGATGAGAGATTGAGACTTGAGAGAAGACTGAAATGGGAGCTCGGCTGCGCTGACCGGAATGGATAGTATATATACATATAACACACGACGTCGTATTACATAAGGGTAAAAAAACCCTAGGCTTCATCGGTTTCTCGGACGGGTTCGGGTGGCGTTTAATGCCTCCCACCCGAACCCTCTTCATCTGGCTAAAAACGGCCACTCGGTTCGGGTTTTGTCTTCGGATACGGGCCGCTCAACGGGCTCACCCGTCGGTTGTCGGGTCGGGCGGGTGGGTCGGGTTTCTCGGATTCTGCACAGCCCTACCTAGAGCTATTACGGAGGTAAATCAGTTCATCGGTCAGATCATAGTCTTTATATGCACACAAGAAATTCAATTCAGACCTTTCATCATTCTTGATTCTTTTTTCTCTACATATTTTTAGTGGTATTCAAACCTCCACACTGTCGCTTCCCATCATAACTTTTTAAGTCAGGCTATGAATCAATTACACTAAACCCAGCAGAGTCAATAATGTCAATTGTTTATACCATCATAATTTGCTGTAGGTCATCTTGTCTCACCCAATAAGGTGAATGCCCGTGGAAAAGTATGAAGGGTACAAGCTTGTGCAAAAATGATTATGTGAGGAAGAACCATAAATATATGTAAACGAGTCCAATACTAATGCATGTCATATCTTATGATGAACCATTCAATCAAAACTAATTAACAATCATTGTTCATAAGAGCATCCACACTAAGGGGAGAATGTGGAGTTATTTCAGAAATAAATCACTCAAGCCAAAAATAATACTGATGTGAGAATGTGTTATTTGAAAAAGAATCACTGTGCAAATGAAGGGTTAATGTCAGAATTAAAAAAAAAAAGTAAGTGGCAAAATCCGGGCGCGTGCACTGCACGTGCCTGACAGCATTAGTTTTTTAATTTTTTTTTTTTTAAAATCTTTTTTTTTTCTCTCCCCTCCCCATTCTCTTTCCTAATCACTCTTACATTATCCTCACATTCTTCCTAACTGATGCGGATGCTCTAACTAGATATAAACTTGATTTAAAATGAAAATGGGATCCGATCGATCACAAGTACGTCATGCTCAAGTAACCCTAGAAAACAAAACACAACTTTTGCATGCATTACGCAGAAGTGAGAGGAAAGAAACAAATTTGTAACCCACTCTCCAGATGGAAATAAATGAATTGATCGATACATGACAGAGAGGCATATAATGCATATCATCTATCTTCATTCGCACTTGGAATTTGAATACCAAGTTGCTTTTTCCCTTTTCTGATTTTTCCCTTTCTTAATGGATAAAGCCCTTTTCTGTTTCTTTCTCAGTACATAAGTGTCAGTCTCTGTGTCCATTCCATGATCAATTGCTCTATACAATGAAGTTCTTGGCAGAAATTAAACATCCCTTCTCTTCAATTCTTGAATTATTTGAGTTTGATTATGGCCATGTTTGCTAACATAGATAACTTATCAGTTAATTTTGATTTATTTGATCACTATTACTTATTTAACATGGTAAAACAATCAAATAAGTGTTTAATTAATTAGCTTTTTTAACATCATATTACTCCATAATACTGAAGTTTAAAAAGCGGTTCAAAACAGTTTTTTCAATAAATTTTTTGAAAAAGACATTTTACATATAATCAGTTATCAGCTAACAGTTAATTTACCAAACACTTTTCTACAATAACTCACTAACTTAATCAGCTAACAACTATTTACCAAACATCGCTATATTTTGATACAAGTAATTTTACATGCTATAATTTGATCCAAGAAGACTAGTACTCATGTGGTTAACTAAAATTCTAGATCCCTTATTTAGATTCTCTGTTCATAAATCTCAAAAAAAAAAAAAAAATCAACTTTTACAAAAACAAAGTTGGAAAATTAAACTCTCATCCATTTTCCACATTTTTTTCCATCTAAACACAAATTTTATTTTCTTATCTATTTTTTTAAAATAATCAATTCATGAACCTTCCCTATATTTCCTGTTCTCAAATTATTGCTTACATATAATCAACGTACTCCACAAATCAAGAATTCTTGTCTTTAAAATAAAATGAGAAGTAAATGGAAGTTTGAGTTAATGTCATATGCTCCTCCAATTACGTTTAATCTTAAAATTTTAAATTGATCACTCATGATCCTTTGACTTTTAAATTGTTACCATCCATGATCTAAATTAACCACCTATGGTTCTTCAACTTTCAAAATTTAACCAGCTGTGGTCTTCCTGAAAAGACCATGAGTGGTTAAAATTTGATAGTTGAAGAACCATGAGTGGTTAACTTGAATCATGAATTGTAACAATTAGAAAGTCGAAAGAATACGGGATTAGTTTAAAAGTTTAGGACTAAACGTGGCAAACCACTATATTCAAAGGACCCCAGATGATATTAACTCATGAAAGTTTTCATTAGCCTCGAATATTTACAATCCAAAAACGTAAAGAATACGATGAAAAAAAAAAAAAGACTTTTCAAATTGGATAAACAGAAAATAAATTGCAGTCACGATATTGGGTGGACATGATTTTTTCCTTACCCAGCACTCGTACTGTTCATGCCTTGCATAAGAGGCTACGACTTTTTCTTTTTCCTTTATTTTTTTTATTATTTTTATTTTTCCATTTTCATTTTGAGAAAGATGACAAAATTTGGCTTTTATATCAAGGCTTTGGCTGAGTATGTGACGATGAAGTGGCATGCATGATCTGGATATATTTGAATTGGTTGTCGGTGTTGTATAATTGCACGTTGTTTGTAGGGCAGCTTAAGCAATTGTTGAGCCTAAAACCCCACTTGCCGACTGCCATAATTTTGTCCCTAATTGATAAATATGATTGTTAATTTGTATCAAACGCTTATCAATATGCTAAAAATTATAAGGATTAGTTAGTAGCGAATACATAATTTTATTTCTTTATAGACTGTCATTACACTTTTTCCAAAGTATTGGACTTGACTCTTCCCTCCGCTCAATAATCCTTGATGGACTTGATTATTTACCGGCTTTCGCCCAATGGTTAATCCCCAAAATTATAACCTTATAAGTTGAAAAGGATATTGTTGAGGTTAGGGTGTTAGGATCACTGATTAAATGTTATCCATTATTTACATTAATTACTATTATGATCGATCTTGTGATGTTAACTCCATTATTATTCTTGTTGGAGTTAAATTATTTAGGGTATTGGAATATAGTTAAGTCTTTCTAATCGTTATACCGTGCACTAGGGCGCACATAGCACCCCGTGCCTCCTAAAATGACGTCGTTTTGTTAAGTTGTTAAAAAAAAAATCTTCTGTTTCGAATGCACATAAATTCATAACAGAATACACATAAACTCTTATTGAATACACATAAACTCATTACACAATACACATAAACTTTTGATTGAATACACATAAAGGGGTTTGGTTAACATAATACACATAGGCCCTGTTTGGTAACAAATTGGTCTATAGGTCAATTTTAGCTTATTTGACCACTATTAATTGTTCGATTTAGTTAAAATATCAATATAAATGTTTGGTTAATTAACTTTAATTTTTGCAACTCCAAAAGGCTAAAATTCAAAAAGCTACTCCAAGCAACTTTTTCAATTAGCTTTTTGAGAAAATAAATTATACCAAACAGCTATCAGCTAAGAGCTAATTTACCAAACACTTTTCTACAATCAGCTAATGTTATCAACTATTTATACCCTCTAATTAACACAATTAGCTAACAACCATTTTACC